ATTAGATTAGTTCTGAAGCAGAAAAAGCATTAGCGGTTGTACTCTGCAAGATCTTCACGTTGATTTCTTTGGTTCTTGAAATAAATAAAATTGAACCAAAAGGAGAAGATCGTTAGCTGACCACTCTACATAGCAGAAGTGTCTTGGAAAAAATCATCGATCTTGCAAGAACAATGTGCTGACTTTTTTGGATTTTAGTAGTAATGAAATTAGATAAGCAATAACTCTATACTAACTTCTTTAATTCTTTGTTAAAATATTTTAGATTAGAAGAGAAGAGCATAGTGGCGTATTTGTCTTCTGAATTTAGCAATTTTGTAACTTATTGCATCAAATGGTTTGATCAATTCAAATTCTGTTATTTTAAATGAACTTATAATTTGTACTAATAAAAATTCTCTAACAAAATCATGTGATATCAGAATTTATTTAGTTAAAAATATTGTTATTTATTCTGAAAACCTTTATAAATCGCTCTTGAAAATTTTATTAGTTTCATTTTAAATATCTTAACTTATTTTTAAATCAAAAAAGTAAAATGTACGATCTTATTTAATTTAATAAATAAAAATTGAATACAATATTTGATATAATTATTGAGCTAAACATGATACAGATATCTGAGCTTAATAAAGATTCAAGATTATCATATGATTTCGCGGACATGCATGTCCGCGAAATCTCATTATATAAAGGTTCAAAGAAATTACCATAATATTCTTGCAAGCACCTTTGCTAACCATTTGAGTTTTCCAACCCACACTAAGTATATATTAGTTCAAACAAGTGCTTTCGAATAGTTAATGTATCTGATAAAATGAAATAAACACTCATATTATATTCATAGATATATACATACCGACATATAGTCAACTGATCGATTAATCGAATCGATTAATTAGAAATCAATTAATCAATTACAGTTGATACTGTCTAATTGCATACTCTCTAAATGCATAAAAAATTTTAACTTTTAATTATTAACGCAAAAATAGTTCTTATGACTTAAATACATATATTGTCTATATGCATAAAAAGTCTTTGACAGATAGTATGCAATTAAACAGTACTGACTGTAGTTGATTAGTTGGTCAATCAATTAAAATCGTGTTGTAATAATTCATCAATTAGCTGCCAACTTGATCAACTAATCGATTAATTGATTCATATTACTAATAATCATGATACTAATTTAGTTTGATGCTCAATTATAAAAGAAAAAGTCATAATTAATTCATTTAATTTAATTATAAATTAAGTCATTTAATTTAATTATAAATTAATTTATTTAATTTAATTATAAATTATATCTTTATATCCAGATTTTCCTTAAACCGGATTCACCACTAATTTCATTAGCGCTACCTATCTCTACGCCTCATATTTATCCTTATCAACTCCAATTCTATTTTTATAGCAATGGCCAACTTGACTTCAGGCACATCTATAGAATAAATCATATAATTAAAAACTATATTATCAATCAAGAATATAATATGAAATAATAGTAACACACTATTCATCGTCCTTCCTATTCTGCGAAAATGTCTTATAGTTAATTTTATTATGATTGAGTAATTTTGCAAAGCCATCATGTTTTTTTGTTTGAGATATGTTTTTAAGCGCAAATGAAAACTCAAAGTCAATTCGTAGACCTGGATTTTTGTGTTAAAAAAAAAGAAATTAATACGAAGAACACATATTGAACATTAATTAATTCTTTTTAAAAATATAACAGTACCTGATTTGACGAAATATTTTTTCTTGCCCATAGCACTTGAAACATAGTAAGTTAATATCTCTAACTAAAGGGTAATAAATACACATTTTAACAAGTGGCAAATAGAGAAAAAAATTTAACATAAATCTTTATTTGGATAATCAGGATCAAGACATAAATCATATGATTCAGACTTTCCTGGCAAAAATCCTATACATTCACGTAACACTGAAAAATAATCGCCTTATTTCCCGTTAGTAAATATGAAAAAAGTCATTTAGTACCAGTGGCCATCGTATATAGTGTCCCAAAATATAATACCCCATGATTAATACCTGAGTATTATTCACAATCTCTATCATCCTGTTTCTTAAATAAGACCTGGGGTATAATTGACTATTATCCAGGGAATAAAGGTGTTATTCTCCCGTTTTATTAATTGACGGCCAGAGGTTATTTCCCTACTGAGTTTTTGTGATAAAAACCGTGATTAATAACACGAAAATCCCCATAAGTAACAATTAGTAAAATAGTGAATAACTACATTGATTTACTACTTTTAACATAATATTTCCCCAAATATAGTATACAGTATCTACAGGTACTATTCAATTTTAAAAATAGAGTTCTTGAATAAGATCCCAGGTACTGTATACAGTAGCTAAATGCCGGATATATATATGAAGTGAACAAAATCAATTCACAAAACCTCTTTCGTTTTTTACTGAATCAGCCTAAATCTGAAATTTGGAAAGTAAGTGAGAAAAAATAGTATAGAAGTATAAATATGAACTGGGAATAAATAATATTTATAGACAGGATGAATTTGTCTTCGTCTTTGTCACTTAATAATTCAATTATTTCTGGTGCCTGGTCTTCTCTACTATAGTTTTCAGACACTCTTTTGCTATTTCCAATAGATTCATCGGCTATTCGGTTCGTTCTTTTATATAATTATTTTTAAGCACTATTTATTATTAAACAAATAATAACTTTGAAAAAATCTATCTTATACATTTTTAATGATTCTGAAAATAGACTTTTTTTTTGGTGTCCAATAAATAAAAAAAATTGTTACATATATTTTTGACTAATCAGAATTGGTTAAATACAAATTAACTAACGCTAATTATAATTAACTAATTTAGCTGTTACATAGTACAAAGTAACGATAACATTAAGATGAACTTTATCTTAATATAATATACAGTAGGTAAAGGTTAAAAAAAAAGTTATATGAAATTATGTTTTCATTCTAAAAACTCTTTTGAACCAAAAAGCTAATAACGTTATCTTATATTCATTTATAGATAAAACAATATGAATGCAGAAATAGATTCAAACAAAATACAGTAAGTTATACTATATATTCAAAAACTATTCATTATAGCTGTTTCAGGAGTTTGCTCTCTTAAAATACTTAATAACACAATTATTTCAGGTGTCCGTTCGTCTTCAGGTGTCTGGTTTTCTTTGTCATTTGATATCTCAATTATTTTAGATATTTTGTCCTCTTTGTCACTTGATAACTCAATTATTTCAGACACCTGGTCCTCTCTACTATTATTTTCAGACACCCTTTCTCTATTTACAATAGAATTATTGACTATTTCAGGTACCTGGTCTTCTTTACTATTAGTTTCACTTTCTCTATTTACAATAGAATCGTTAGTTATTTTAGGTCGCTTTTTTATAAGCTCTAATTCATCATTTCCATAAAATATATATTGATTATTTTGGTTAATTTATAGACAAATCACTAACTCTTTCCGACGATCACTTGTACCAAGTTTTCTCTAAAAACAATTGCACTTTTCTCAATATTTTAT